CCATTTGTTTTTATATCTCAAATCTGTGTGTAATCCTTGCTCACACTGCATGTGTTATTATAAAACACCTTTCAGTATGCGACAGTTGAAATGGAGTGCTCTAAACAAATGCTCTCTTAGGGTAGTAACTCCTTAATATAAACTACATTTAATAAAACCGGCAGTAATTCTGAAAAGAAAAAGGGTAAGGCAAATTCAGAGAAAATGTCTGGGAGAGATTTGCAATTAATATTTTACAAGACATTTAAATTCCCAAGATTCCTTCTTGCTGTTAAAATTTAAGAGCTTTTTTTTTCAAAACTGTATTCCTCTCTGTTATTACATCCTTAATTAAATTAATTTATACAGTGAATGCTCTAATGATACTGCTGTAGATTTTCAATCCAAAAGCCTCCGTGCCAGAGACAATATGTGTTCAGACCTTGAAAAAGGAATCACATAAGGCATAGTGCTGTCACAGGCACAGGGGGTACTTGGTTTAGACATCTGAGGATTGGAAAGACCCTGGTAACTTTTTGTTACTTAATTATGTCTTTATTTTACTTTCGAGTTGAGCTAAATTAGCTCAGGGAAAACAAAACGAATCTTGTCAGTTGCCTTCAAAAGGATTTCACTTTGGGACACAAAATGACCTTTCTCCGTATTAATACTGCTGTTAGATTGTACCTATCTGAACTCAGAAACAAAGGATGCGACATCCAAGCTCAGTTTGTTACAGTCTAGCCGAGATAAACAACATTTGTATAGGAACACAAAAGACACAGCCTCCGAGAAAAGTCAACCTAAGGATCTTGCACCAAATTCAATGATTCAGCAAGTGGCCCCATTGGTTACAGACATGCCAACAAAGTTCTTTAGAACCCTAAACTTTCTTCAGACTTTAAAAGCACTACAAACAGGGATACAGGATAGAGTCTGTGGAACTTCACTCTACTGCAATAGGAGAGCATTAGAGCATAAACTAAGTAAATATTAATTACCTGTCCACTGCCTATTCTTTTATTGAGACCTCTGTTTTCTGCCAGTACTTAACTTAGTACCTGGAACATAGTAGGCACTCAAAAATAATTTGAGATTTATTAGTCTCATGAAATATCAGCAATTAGTGAGATGCTGTAAGACTTGATGTTGCTTCCACATTAAGCAATCACTTCTAGAAGACAGCAGCATCAAGCAGTTTCTTGATATTTACTTATCTGTTGAATTTGCTCCATTTTTTCTATCATATTTTTAGTATTTATACTGCCCATTAGATCCAATGTCTTTTTCCAGTTACATGTAACAGGCAGGCTTGAGAAATGTATTTTTAATTATTATGTATGGCTCAGTAAGGCCCTGATCCTTCATCTGAATCCTATAACGCTTACCCTCTCTTACCCTTCTGCTACCACCACACAAAGGGGCTTTAAAATCTACATATAATATGACACAAAGACTGTGCTTTTAAATCAAATCTAAGAGAAAACACATTTGATTGTAAAACAGGCAGTCTTCTAAGACTTTCACCTTCTGCATTCAGCAAGTTCTTTGTTTCCTCAAGAAAGGGAGTTGGGGTATAATGGAGAAAGCAAATTCCTAAATATTAGCGATCAAATTTGGTTGCATGATAAAAGTTTTTTCATTTAAAAAAAAACTGCAAAAGAAAATTAGATAGTAAAAAACCCCAGAAGTATTTGATCTTGTCATAAATTGAGTTTTGGACACTTTAGCAAAAGGCAGCAAGTGTCATTTTAATGGATTTTATCCACAGGAAAATGATTACAACCAGAAAAGCTTTAAAGTGTCAGCTGGTGATGCATTTTTCTTTATCCCTTTTATTTTTATTCAGAAAGAAATTGAAGGCATATGGCAAAGTGCATCATTAATTTCTTATTAATTTCATAATATGAAGGCAACCAGTTAAAATAGTACTGCTACAACTTTAAATTACCGAACTCACTTGGTATTTAATGAGAGATTTAGCACAGCAGGGCTTCTGTTAAATTAAGTTGTGCCTTCACATCACAGTGGGAAAACAGGTGTATATTGGTTTAGAATTATGGAAATGTTGACTAATTCCGAGGCTTGTAATCAAACAGCAAGGCACTCTGCAATATTTTTTTTCGAAGCATATGCATTAATCTTTTATGCGTGGTCCCATTTCTTCTTGTCCACCAAAGCCTCAGAGCTGAAAGGCAATCACTTTCATGTTTTTCCTGTGGCTGTTGTGTGCGATGTGTATTAGATAAAGTCACACATAAATGCAGACTATGGAACTCTGTACTGATTTATCACATTGGAAATGGCAAAAATAGAAAGTGTGTACACTGCACATTTAGATCTGACTTTTAACATTTCTGTTTAACTTGCGTCAGGTAATTGGGCATGTGAACACGAATTGGAAAAAAATGAAACCAAAACCAATCCTCCAACTCCCAAATTATTGGCCTTCATAATTGTCTCCAGATCACTTTCCTTATATTCCAAAGGCAGAATTTTTAGAAGGAAAAGAGAAAGCAGGTATATGTTTAAATTATGTGTGCACATTTAAATTACATATAGACAGATATAGATACATGTGTATTTAAATACAGAAGATAACATTATTTTTGCTAACAGATGGATCACAGCCATACATCCCAAACAGAAACACACCCATTAGTAATGTTTATGAACTTTAACAGACTCCATTCACCTATTAACTCTGGGTTTCCTGACAAATGAATCCGGCACATTGGGAGATGTGCTTTCAGTAGAGAAGATTAACTAAACTTTGCCTTCATTTAACATTACGTTATTTGGAACCAAACTATACTGTATCTTAAATGTAAATAATTCATCATTTAAAGTAATATTTTTAAACAATTCTGTGTACTCATTATTAAAACCACTCCTTTTTAAGAAAAGACCAAAATTTTGTCCATGAGTTCGATTAGGAAGCTGGGAAGTAAAAAATTATTTTCTTCTATCGTTGGCTGAGCCAGGAAATACTCTTGGTTGTTTCACTCAGTACACTTACACTGGGAGAACTTCACTTACATGGAGAATAAAGTAGAAATACTATGATTTTTCTTAAACTAAAAACATTTTCACTTAATGCAATCACTAACTGAAATCACTTCATAGGTGAGCATTGTGGCACAGTGGATAAGAGCTGCTGCCTGTGACACCAGCAATGGGTGCCAAAGTGAGTTCTCCTTGTTTGACTTGCCATTCAGCTCCCTCACAATGGCCTAATAAAAGCAGCAGAAGACGGCCTAAGTGCTTGTGTCCCCCCAGGCATGGAGGATACTCAGAAGTTCCCAGACCCTGGGTTTGGCCTGGCACAATCCTGACTGTTGCGTCCATGTAGAGGAATGAAAGAGTAGATAAAAGATCTCTTTCTCTCTTGGTCTCTTGCTCTTTTTGTAACTCTAAGATAAATAAATAAATAAAATCTAGGGAAAATTCAGCTTGCTTTTAAAAATTAAAAGAAACTGCCTCCCCAAACCAATGATGATGAGAACAAGAACAACAGCAGCAGCAATGAAACAGGTCTCAGCACAGTTGGATGGTCCTTTCCCTTTAAGTGCTGGGATCCCATATAGGTGCCAGTTCATATCTCAGATGCTCCACTCTCCATCTGGCTTCCTGCTTCTGGCCTGGGAGAGCACCGTAGGATGACCCAGGTCCTTGGTAGCCTGTACCCTCATGGGATACCCAGAAGATGCTCCTGCCTCCTTACTTTGGATCAGCTTAACTCTGGCCACTGCAGCCATTTGGGGAGTGAACCAGCACATGTAGGATCTTTCTCCCTGTCTCCCCATATCTCTGTGAATCTTCCTTTCCAATAAAAATATATAAATCTTTAAAATAAAACAAAAACACGTCAGTACTTTCAAGGAGAAATCAGCTAAATTGGGAGGGAGTGTTCTGATGTCACTTTCTGAACCTTTTAATTCTTTGATTTGCTCCCTTTAAAAGACAAAAGTGGTATAATTCAAGAACCAGGTTCATAATTTATTGCCTTGTGGTAAGAAGTTCTTGTTTTGGAACCCTTTTGTTGAGTACTTTGTAACTGCAAACATAAAATTTTTAATGGATGTAATGTGTTTTACGAAAATGCTTTCTTTTCTCAGGGGTAAAAGGTGACAAAATGCTTACATGTGCACACCTATATACAATGTTTGTGTACTTGTACAGAGACACATAAACAATATAATGTCAAAACTACAACTTGAAAGCAATGTTATCTTTCACTTATAAAACCAAACTTCAATAAAAATTGTACTGCTTACTATATCCAAGGCACATCATTACAATACGGAACTACCTCATCACTGACATTTTGACCAACAGGAAAAACATGCAAATAGCAAAGGGAAATGTATATGAACATGCCACACAAAATTCTTCAGAAATACTACATTATGATGCAGTATCAGTTCATTTCTAGAGAATTGTACTGATCATGAAATATGATTGGGAAAGAAATGGAAAAAATACCATAAATTTTGTATTTTCTGTTCTATATCAACACGAAGCCACAAAGGCGTTAAAACATTGACTTTGTTAACCACCATTGACTGTTTGGAAACCATTAGGAGGCTTAATATTATGGCTGCAGAGAGTACATTTTTGTTCTTTCAAAAGAAAATATAAAGACTAAATCTGAAAAGGGGTTCCTGGTGAGTAAAAGCTTTTCCTTTTCCATTTGCTTCTCTTGTGTGTGTTGGGTTTTGTCCTTTTAAAATCTTAGCCCACCCAATACACTTTGGCAGCTGCTGCTACCCAGTGGGGTCACTCTGATTTTCTAACCAGGGGACATGCTATTTGAGAGCTCTTCCCATCAATGCTAATGCCAGCGCTTCACTATGGGCTGGCCAGCTGGTTCGGCTGCTGTAGGGAACAGAGGGGTCAGCACACACTCCTCAAAAGACCAAAGTCATTTTTGGCACTAAGAGCTCATAACTAGAACCTTCAGTTGAAAGGACCATTTTCAAGCAATAAAGTGATTCTGGTACAAAAGTAAACCGACTCACCCCAGGTAAAGTTTTAATATTGTGCAGTGCATTCTGGGCCTCAAGTGCAGCTTTTCTTGTATAAAATGTTACGAAACAACAACCTACAGAGAGAAATGAAAAGGTTTTAGAAATTTCTGTGAATGCTTTGCTTAGATATAATGGAGACTGCGGTGAACAAATAATCTACTTAAAAGGATGCACAATTTAAAAATAATAAAGCGTATGAGAACAGTTATAACAACATCTCAAGCATTTACACAGCGCCTTTCATCCAAAATCATATTTATTAGCTTTACCCACGTTGGAAACCAATTCAAAACTCTGTGCGTCAACTCTTTGGAATAGAGCTATTCAAGAGTGAGGGTGGGAGGTGGCACTGGGTGGCTGAGGTGAATATGACCTGTGGCATAGCAGCTACTTTAAAGACAAGTATTTAATCATAGTAACAATAGCATAAATTTACATTAACCATGACTCTCTGAAATACCTCTAGAACACCATGCTTTTAAAACCTTCTAAATTCAAAGGTTTTGCCAACTGGATCACAAGCTTCTTAAAAGCTGGGATAACGAAGGCATTATCTTTATATTCTTTTTTTATCTTCATCATAGTACATAACGCAAAGTTCTGCGTACATGGCATTCAGTACATATTTGTGAAAGGTAAAGATTGCATTCTAACCAGAAGTCAAGTTTTAAAAAGGGTGGCTATATGCCCCCAAAGATGTTGGTATAGTCCATGTTTTAAATACAGCCATGGCACACCAGCTGGGAAACTCTTGAATGCTCATTTCCGAGAGCCCACAGGACTCCAATCTGAAAGCCCCTCCAGATAAGGCCAGCAGACACCCTTTCCCAACCAAGCTCTTTCATCAAAGTAAACGGTGCAGAGACCTGAGACCTTTCTTTCTGCATCCTGCAGGATGGTTATCCCCTACACTTCAACTTGCAGATAAAAACAGTGGCTAATGATTTTTTCATCAGCATAGAATTCTCTCAGCACAACAAGGCTTGGATGAAGGAGACAGACTTAAAAAAAATTAGAGATAAAGATACTACCTTTTTTGTATGCTAAGATTGGGAAAAAAACAGGGCAAGACACTTAATTAAGACTGGATGTGTGCACACAATCTTAACTTTGAACTCACAGACACAGAAAGAAACAGGAATACAGCTTACAGAGATGCATGCGAGCACAGAAAGCAGCACGGGAGAGATGTGCAGCTCTGAATCATCAGTACTGGTTTGGCAGGGGAGACATACACACCAAGAAAAAGATGAGAACAAAATGACAGTTTTAGGAAAGGGAGCTGGCAAGGAAGGACATCAATGATTTAGAATCATCTATCAATATTCTGATTTCACAAAATAAAAACTCCTGCAGAGAAAGAGGAAACTGAAGTACAAAAACCATTCACATAGCTTTGTGAGTTCCATCTAAGATTCCTCATTCTCACCCAGAAACTCACCTAAACTTAATCCCATCAAGACTAAGATTCAAAATCTTTTGGAAAAGTAGAGTCCAACTATATCAGAATTTGGAAACTTTCATGCATTCAAGTGTCAGAAATCCATCTTTAAAGAACCTGAGAAGGAAAGCATCTCTATTTTAAAATAGGCTCATAATTCAGCTGATTTGACTTCTTGACCATAGTTTATTTGGCTATGCTGCTCGACAGTCTACTTTTTGATAACTAGTCAACCAGAGATTTTAACTTCATTGGCAGTGTAAACCCCAGAAAAATGAAAGGTGTGCTTGAAACTCAGTCATGATCCTAAGCAGGAAAGTCAAGTTTCAACTTCTAATAACCCACTCTAAACATTTTCAGAAGAAAAATATGCACCATGTTTCACTATATTTGGGAAAAAAGAAAAACAAGAAAAGCCATCTCAACATCTCCGACAGACCTCATTAAGTTCTGCTTGCCCTTTTCTGGTCTTTTTGGGGTTAGCTTCTGGATATAGATCAATGGAAAAGTTCCACTTTTCAATCTCGTTTAATATTCAAAGCTTCAAAAAAGAGGTGGAATCTGATACTTTTAGGCAGGGTCATTCTGGAGGTCAGACACTCTGAAAAAGAAGATTTAAAGATGGAGCAGTTTGTGTGGAAGAGTTAACTTGAGAGATGAAAAACAAATGTCAGTCAGTTTGTCCATGTTCATAGCCAGGAATGACCAGTTTAAGTTGGCCTAAAAGAACAGCAGAATGACAAACTGCAGGGAAAGAGCAAAATATAAAAGCAGCAAGGGACAAAGATGGCATAAAGTGAGGGAATCATGTGTCCCTTTCATGTTGAGTGAATGTGAAAAGCTTGGACCAACACACAGTGATTTGGGGGATAGAGGAAGCTCTTTTCTTTATATAGTGACCCATCCAAACCCTTAGCACTGACTGAGAGCCCACTAGGAAGGCACAGACCTTCTGTTATGCATTAAGATGCTACCCCAGCAGAAGGAGACTTTTGATTGTTGGTTGTTTTTTGTATCTTAGTGAGAATCTGGCAATGTAAAGTGCTTTTTCCCTTTAAGATTTATTTATTTGAAAGGGGCAGAGATGGATCTTTCATGTGCAAGTTCACACCTCAAACGGCTGCAATAGCTGGCTGGGACAGAAGCTTAGAACTCCATCACAGTCTCCCATGCGGGTGGCAGAAACTGAGGTACCTGGTCTACTGTTCCCAGGTATATCAGCAAGGAGCCAGATGAGAAGCAGAGTACTTGGGGCTGAAATCAGCACCCTGTTATGACTTGTGGTCATCCTAAGTATGGCTTAACCTGTTGGCCTTCTTTTTGAACAATGTTCTTTTTCATGACTGAAAAAGGTAGGTGGGTTTTACTTTTCACTTTTGTTTTTGTTGAATGGAACATTTGAAGCTGCTATCTGAGCAGTATGGAACGGCAAGTGAAGAGGGGTGGGGAATGGAGAGCAGTGTCTCAAAGCATAGGGAAATCAAACAAACAACAGAGGAGCTGGGAAGGTACCTAAACTGACCAAACTCCTGCCGATGTCATCTAGGGTCCACCCTGCTTATGCATCCGGTGACATCAGGGATTTTTCACTATGGATCCCTTCAATCTTTGCAAAGCTCTGAGCTAATTTACTATATGTCCATTTAAGCAGATTCCTTAAGATGATCCCCAAATAAACTACAGTTTTATTGTAACTCACAGAGCATCCTAGGTAACATTGGTTAGAGATCTCCCATCAGCTCGTTTGCCCCAGACCCAACAGTGTGTGAATTTGGAAAAGGGTACCTAACTTTAGGACACAGTTCCTTCACACACCCATGGACTTAAGAACAGTCCAGGGCTGGATTTCTTTCCTGCTTACACAATTGTACAAATATGGAAGCTTTGGGGGCAGATAGTAAAATCAGGATATTGCCTCAAGATTATTGCTTTCCTAACTTGCTTCCTGCATGACTTTGGAGGAAATATTTTATTTTCTCCATACCATAGTTAGTTTAGTTTCATTGTCTCTGCATCGATGAATAAATATGAAATTTGCCTAAAGTATACCCCTATCATTATGTGGATAAACAGTCCAAGTGCTTCTATAGGAACACATAAATAGAACCAAAATTATTCTTTAAGTTTATTGGGCTAAAAGTGTCTTATACTGTATATGGCAAGTGTAATGATTCAACTAATAATGCATTATTTGTTTATCTTAAAACTTCATGGAAAAACACAGTCCTCCAATTTTGAAGTCATTTTAGATGCAATACTTAGTGTTTGTCTATCATGGACTTTAACACGTACTTACAGAATAATAAAGCATTTGAAACAGTGTTGTTTCTGTGACTATACTCCCAGCTAGAAACCAGTCTTTTTTTCATTCATCTTCACTTAATATACTGACTTAAAAATCTTAGCTTCATTAACCTTCAGTGAATATCTTGACAAAGAAGGCAGAACCATCATTATTTGCCTTAATGTAGTAATTACTATGGTAAAAGATTAGGGAACTTACTATAGATCCCAGAAAACCCATGATTGTTCGACAAGCATGAAATTTTCTTTCTTACTGGCCCTAGCTGAGCATACAGCTGTTAAGGGAACCACCTGTTTCTCTGATTTCCCCATACCAGCTGTAATTCAGGTCTGAAATATACTAGATTTATTTCCAGGTCAGGGGCAACACCAGATGGCTCAGCAATCGGATTCAGGAGACGGGTCCGTCTCCCTATGCAGGTTCTGTTTCGAACATCAGTGGAAAGTGGGTGGTTAAACACCTATAAAACCCACAGATGCTCTGCCATGGTCAGTGGTTACAACATGTATCAGAGCGGCCAGGCCAATTCCTCAGGTCTCACATTAATTCCTAGTACCTGCCTCCTTTCCCAGCTGCCATGTAGTGCAGAGGGAGGCCCTGCTCAAAGAAGACAAATGACTGGCCAAGGGACACTAGGGCTCAGCAGATATGGATGCGGGTTGTTGAGCAAGGTAGTAAGCTGCTGCCAGTGTTTGGGAGCCAAGTTAGAAAAGTAAACATGACATTCGGCACCCAGGTTATTCTATAGGATTTCCTATTTCAGTAGGTTCAACAATTAACTGTAGTTTTAAAAGCGTTGGGATCATGAGATACAAATCATAAACAAATGGTTTTACATTAAAAAGAATCATAATAAATCATCACTCATATGTCTATTTATTAACTCTTTCCCTATCCTCCTCAGGAAGACTGTAAGTTCACAGATGAAATAGCTGTGTAGTAATTGATTCTAGAACTACATTCTAGTTTTAGGCCCATATGAACTATAGAGCCAAACATTTCCATCTCTGATGACCACTTTGGTGGATCACTATAAAATTCTCATTACTCTATATATAATTTTAGGATGGTATTATAATAAGCCTTGGACCATGGACATCTCACTACAAATTAATTCTGCTGTTTAACTTTGACCAGCAGAATCCAGGGAACCTACGAGAGGCTGTCTAGCAGAAAGTTCCTGGAGTAAAGCGTGTGACCTGAGGGGCAGGTTGTGTGTGCTCACGAAGCAGCACCAAGAGACAATTGGGCTCTGATGGAAGGACAGAAGAACATTCCCTATTTTCCATTCCTGCTGACACTCCTTCTGCCTACCTTCTCAGAGTTCCATCAGGGGCACCTGGTGCTTTTGGCCACTCAGATTCCCTAGAAATTGTGAAGTTTAGAAGTACTTTTGCAACATATGCAATCAGTATCATCATAGTGGGATATGATTATATCATGTATCAGAAGTGGAGAGCCGTGATTTCCAGGGGGCTGAGTACTACATCCTCCAAACAGGGTAGCTAGTGTCTGTTTGGGCACTAATAGTCTCTGCCACCATAAAAAGTTTCTTCAGGTATTTTTTCCAACTTAATGGCTGGATAATTTCAGACACTGATATAAGGTTCTTGTGATTTCCAAAGATACAGCCACAAGAAAGGCCAGTGGTATCTATAAACACACACACACACACACACACACACACACACACACACACACACACACCATATTCAAAATTATAACGAAAACAATCTCAGTGAAAGACTTTAATTTTAAATGATCAAGTAGATTCATCCTCAAAGAAACCATCTGGATTATCACAATTTTTCTTTTTCAAAACCACAGCTGTTTCTCTGAAAAACTCTTGGTAAGAACACTTCAAGGGGAAAAAAGCACAGCTTTTCTCGAGGCAACTGGAATCATGGCTTACCCCCAGTCAAACAGCAATTTATTGATGCTCTTCAGCAAGAAGGTTGCCACAGACAGAGCCACACAAAATGTTATCTAAGATCACTAAACTGATGCCATGCTCATTAAAGGAACTTCTTCTGAGGTTTCTAAACAAAAGAGTGAGAGGAACAAAAGTAAGATCAGAGTCCTGGAGCCAACATGTTGAAAAGGCAGCTTTCCCTAAGGCTCTCAGAGTCTAAAATTTGGACAATCAGGCAGTTCTTATTACACACGTGTGTCAGTTTTGAAAGAATTCAGGATCAGGCATAGGAGGTCAGTCACTTGAATGGCTCTCATTTATTCAAAGAGTCACTTAGCAGCTGCAGGGCAGAAATTGCAGGTGCATATGAGTAATCTACTCTTCCAGTGGCAAAAGCCAATCCAGGAGCCTCTACTGCTGCTGAAACCATTCTAATGACTTCTGTGTAGCCTCCAGCCTGCAATGGAGATAAATTCTCTCACATAAGGCATTCCCTTAAGTGTCAAACAGCCTTTTCAGAATGCTCCAGGCTCTAGTTGCTATTTTTTTTTCTGATACTATTCTTCAACAATGTTGTAAGATGGGCAATTGTGGAACACTTTTTGATGTACAACCAATTTACTGTGCAACTTGAGGAATGAAGAGCGAAGGTAATAGATAATCTTCCACAATTCTGTGGCAAAGCACATAAGCTAAAAATTTCAGGCAGTGGGGTGGCAGTGCAGTGTGATGGTTCAGTTGGCTAATCTTCCATCTGCAAGTGCTGGTACCCCAAATGGCCACTGATTCATGCCCCAGAGGATGTTCCAAAGCCTTGGGACCCTGTACCTGTGTTGGAGACCCAAAAGAAGCTCCTGGCTTCAGATTGGCTCAGCTTTGGTGGTTGTGGTCATTTGGGAAAGGTACCAGTGGATGAAGGATCTTTCTCTCTGTCTCTCCTTCCCTCTGTAAATCCACCTTTCTAATAAAATAAATAAACCTTTAAAAAATAAGGCAGTAATTTAAAAATTGTTTCAGATCTGAAGCTTACAGTGTTGTGTACAAGAACACCCATCTCTCCACTCATCTCTCCTCCCTGACCTCCAGCACAGGCTGGAGAGACAGCCTTGCACATCTTTAGCATGTGAAACCTGCCTTGTTTTCTAACTATAAGCAATTACACATTCAAAAATAGCCACAGAATGATCATAACTAATTCATTTCTGATTCATTTCTGGACTTTACTTCTTTTTGAAAACAAAGATACAGTTCTGGTAGAAAAATGTAAGATGTATTCAAATTCAGGACATCAATAAACTCATGTTGTGAATCAAAAATCGCTCCGCAGGCTGCCTTTGAATTCTAAGGGCTGACAGATCAAGGGACTAAGGGCCTGGAAGGCTAAATTAGTGAATTTGCCATGTTTTTTTTCCACCTCCGTTTTCTGTGAATGAAGCTCTTCTATACACACATTTGTAAGCAAGGCAGGTGCCTACTTCATACAAACCAAATTTCAACTGGATGGTGGTTTGTTGTTAAGCCCGAAGCATGCAAGCTACTTGAAGTCAAAAGAGGGCCAACTTCTCATACTTGATTTCTTTTGTAATTTCTTTTCTCCTTCAATCTTAGCCACCATGTAGAGAACAATTTTATTTTAAAATCCAAAGGTTGCTGATGAAAGAGCACATTTTCTCAAACGAATCTCTTTCATACAACAATCACTGGCTTTGCCCCTGCCAAGATCCCCTACTTTCAGTTTCTACAAAGCACCTCAAGCTTAAAAAAAAGCAAACAAAACCCCTTGCATTAATTTTTAAAAATTTAGTTTTAACTTTTTGAAAAGTAATTTTGTAGTAGTATAAAAATTAACTGCATGGAGCCCGGAGGCGTGGCCTAGCGGCTAAAGTCCTTGCCTTGAACACCCTGGGATCCCATATGGGCACTGGTTCTAATCCCGGCAGCTCCACTTCCCATCCAGTTCCCTGCCTGTAGCCTAGGAAAGCAGTCAAGGACGGCCCAAAGCTTTGGGACCCTGCACCCGTGTGGGACACCCAGAAAGAAGTTCCTGGCTCCTGGCTTCGGATCGGCATAGCATTGGCTGTTGTGCTCACTTGGGGAGTGAATCATCGGACGGAAGATCTTCCTCTCTGTCTCTCCTCCTCTCTGTAAATCTGACTTTCCAATAAATAAATAAATCTTTTCAAAAAAATTTACTGCATGCCTGATTTTTTGAGACAAAAGACAGTGCAGTGCTGGAAAGTACAAAGAAGATTCCTAGGAGGTAATCTGGTCTCCTTGAGTTGTGGATGGATTCCTTTCTTCTGGCAGAAGTTTACCTGCCAAGAGAAAGAACTGGCACTGCATAAATCCAAGTCAGATACCCTATTACCAAGCAGCCTTCCTGGGCCTGGGTCTCCCATGCGTTTTTTTTTTTCAAATATGTCCTCAATATATTGCCAGTTTTCAAGAGGTGCACGATACAAGTTAAGAAGATGTTACTCATTTCATAAGGTACATTTAAAAAGTGCATGGTGGCTCCTCTGAATGTACTTACATGTCAAACCAATATGGCTACAATGAAATAAACTGAGCAGTATGAATGACAGGCCTGCAGAAAATGGCTATGCAAATAAAAATGACTTGTCTCAATTTCTATCTGAAGACAAGGGGGTTTTGTTTTGTGACACACTCCAATCTTTTACAGCTTTAAACTTAAGGGGGAAAGAAAGCCAGAGAAAGTTAAGGTGGCACTGCTTTCTGGATGCTTCTATGTCCTTTCTAGAGAATCACAGAATGTTTTAATTAGCTAGCTGTACACCTACCCAACTCTCTAGCCTTTGCCACTGAACAAATGAAGGAAGGCAACAGAAATCCAGACTACATTCAGTCGCATAAGCAACTCAGAGGCCAAACCAGCCCATAATTACTAGTAGAAGAACCCTCTTTGAAGTCAATGTCTCTCATAAGAGCATTGCTTTAACCATCCTGGAAAAGGCTTTCACTTTACTTAAAAAGACATCCAAAGCTACTTCATGCCACCTAACATGTCTTTTTTTCTCCTCCCAACCTAAGCCTCTCTTGGCTTAAATGCTGCTTTAACAGTCACCTAAGACAACCCTTTTGATTTCTTATGTGAAAGCAGGACTTCCACAGCTAGAACAGAATCTACCCAATAGAAATACCTCATCCCGCAGAACCCAACTTTTAATGAAACCATACCCAATTAGCTTAGTTTTATAGAGTTCGATATAATTGGCACCCTGATGTAGAAAGTATTACCATCTGCCCACTACCTAGGAAGCAAAGAAATAATGTTGCCATTCTGTTTTCAGAACTTGAATTATGAGGACCCCACTGTTTGGACTGCCGAATGCCAGCCCAAGGGAATACCTTGGGAAACTTTCACTGACAAGGCAGATTTGCACATCCTTTTTAAAACTTTTTTTTTTTTTCATTTCATCTACTTAAAAAGCAGAGTGACAGAAAGAGACACAGAGCTATATCAAGATCTTCTACCTGCTGGTTCAGCCCCTAAATAACAGCCAAGGTTGGGCCAGGCTGGAGCAGGCAGTGAGAAACAACACCCAACATGCCCACGTGGTAGGCAGTGCCCTAGGGTTTTGAACCAGTCTGCTGCTGCCAGGGCACATGAGCGAGAAGCAGGATTGAAATGAGATGTGAGCCTCATCCCTAGGTCCTCTGATATGAGACATTCAGGCATCCCCATAAACCACTGTGCCACAATGCTCATCCCTTGTATTTCTTTCTCTGGCTGCCTGGACGAGCAATCCTATGCCTCCCAATGAGCTGGAATGACTTGCTCAGTGGCATCACTTCTAGACAGCAGCCAACTTCTCCATCACGAGGGTATGGTGAGCTCACTAGCTTTGGTGGCAAGGCCGAACCTTTGCTCAGTTTAGTCACCTTACCAGTATCATCATGTTCTTGTTAACTGGCCACAAGATGAAGGTTACTGCCTTTCTCCTACGGCCCCCAGAGACTTCCCCGGGAAGAGACACCTGTTATTCCCATGACACTGTGACAAGTAGTCCAATCTCGGAATCTTCCAGGAAAATGTCAATTTTTTTTTCCTTTTTCTTTTTTTTAACCTAGATGAATCTACTGCATTTCTAAGCCTGTTGGCAAAGAAACTGAAGACTACTGTGTACTGCAACACTTCTTCACCTATTATTATGCAAATTTCCACCAAAGCACGACACAGATGGAACAGATATCACAGGCAAAATTGCAGGAATCTGCTTTTTCCCCTTTCTTGGTTCTTTGAAATAAGCCACTTATATTATGTAATTTCAAATTGTCTAATAGCTGTAAAAGTATCTGAAGAATTTCAACGTCATCCTTTCTTCCTCATGATGGGCCAGTCATGTTGAGCGGTTTCCTGAACTCTCATATTCTGCTTTTAAGCATGAGAGGAAGGTGAGTTTCTGGGTGAGGTGCACGTTTGCTAAGGCACCAGAGGCAAGAGTATGAAGAATGAAAAGCTGTCTCCTGTGTTCCAGAAAAAGTCGTTTGACCCTTGGAATGAGAACTAATAAGCAAGTGGTAGATTTTGACTGCATTTTGTATTTTTGAATTACCAATCTCAACAATAGTATAGAGGACCTTATTTTTCTCTGGAGGTAAAAAGGAAACACAAAAATCAAAAACAAACAGTAAGGATGAACACAGCACCTTAACTAAAGGCTGCATCAGGCAGCATCCTTAAAAGACACATGACTGGCCCTATTCACTGACCGAGTGGTCCTGCGAGGCTGACACAAGGGAAGTGGAGCCGGTGAAGCTGCTGCTTCAGCCAGGACTGAGCCGCTTGATCAGGCTTTAGGTGCAGGGAACCAAGATAACTTCACACAGTATCAAGGAAGGTGCCGTAGGGTTAAATGCGCTGTAAGATAGTTCTGTCTTGAATGCAATTAAAAAGGATTTAGCTTCTAAAGTACTTAGGGACCTCATTAAAAGGAAGCTTCTAATATGAGGTTATTTCATAGTATAGACTCTCTTGAGGAAAGGACGGCATTATAATTAGGAGTCTAGTGGCAATGAGAGTAGGTTAAAAAGCATACCTACTTTCTTAGGATTCTCAACTCAGCACACTCAGCTTTTTGATGCTCTTAGGCCAGGCCAACCTCCTAAGTCTCAACTTCACTGTCCTGCTCCAACAGCACATCAACTTGTATCTGTACAGACTAAGAGTATAGGTTCCTTTTGCTAGCATGAATAAAATACAGCTCAGCTCTGTACCTCAGCACTTATCAATGCCATTCTAACTTTTCACTGATCTGCTCTAGGTATATACGAACTCTCATGAGGATTGCCTGCAATCCAGAATGAAATGAGCACATTTTCCTAGAATTTGAGTGAAATGTCATTATCTCCTCTCCTATCTTCACAGTCTGAGTAAAATGAAGAGGCAAACCAGCTGACTACAGAAACTGTATGGTTAGGCTAATATAAAGATTTGTACTTATTTTAGACTGTTCTTGTAGTATATAACTCTGGAGAGCTAATATTTTTAACCATGATAATTGCTTCCACCCGATTTCAACAATATTTAAGCCATATTTCAGATAAATAGGGAAGGAGGCATTTTGCACATTGCCTGGAACAGTGGAAATCATGTAAGAATTCATTTTTGGAATTAAGTATAAAGTGGTCCCTGAGTTCTCATTGTAGAGACAATGATAGTTTTCAGAGTGATCCTGGATACTTCTCTAATATTTCACGCATAATCTTTGCAGCAAGTCCAACACTCAGATTGACAATCTGTTTGATAAATGACAATGACTCAACATCTCCCCCCCGCCGTGTCTTATTTATAACATGTTAACTGTAACTTTATCAAAGGTTCATTATATTAAGTAGCTTAAATTGAAGATGTGCAACTCAGCTCTCAGCATATACATAAAAAGGCTAAATGTGGTGGGCTTTTGGCTGGAGACGCCACATGCCGTCCTGAAGTGCCTGGGTTGAGCATCTCTTCCACCCTCGATTCCAGATTCCAGTTAATGGGCAGAAGGTGGCTAAAGTTGGAGACCTGGGATTCTAGCTTCAATCCAGTTAACCTTGGGGCTATTGTAGACAATCAGCGAGTGAATCAGCAGATGGGAAATTTCTGTCCCTGTCTATCAAACAAAAAAAAATTTTTTTTTCCAATTGTTTTGTACATGTTAGAGTTCATCATTCACCTTTAATTTATCGTATTTCTTCATAAAGTTCTGAGCCCAAACAGATCCTCCTGAGGTTTCCTTGAGGCAGGCCAGCGACAGGCAGCATTATCTCAATTTCATAGCCAATGGAACAGAGATGCAGAAAGGCAGCATCGACATGCCTGCTATTCTCTGAGCTGCTCCCAATTGGTCCCTAGATGGGAGGGAGGACAAGGGAGCCTCTTTCTAAGTGATGACCACGAGCCCTTTAATAGGGTTTGGAATTGATTTTATTGTCTTGCTTTCTAAAGTAATTACTTGGAACTAGCCAAGTTCACCATTTGCATGGCCTTTGAATACTCTGAACATCCATTTACACAGCCTCTAAATAGTCAGTCAATTTTAATGGAATCATTTTGACGACATTCTCACTCAGGGTACAACAAAATTTCCCCCAACTGTACATTTTATGGTATGCCCCTCAGAAGCAAAAATTCCCTATAACAGTTTGTTATTTGAAATAAAACCTGCTGCTGTCTAATGAGTGTATTCAGATTTCGAAACTCTAAAAGGAGCTTAAGCACATATTTGTCACTTCCCTTTGTTTCAGCAACACTAGAGAAAGAGAAAGAAAGAAAGAAAGAAAGAAAGAAAGAAAGAAAGAAAGAAAGAAAGAAAGAAAGAAAGAAAGGAGAAAGAAAAGCAGTTCTACTAGCCTTTGTATGAATATGTGGCATCCTAAATATGAGGCATAAAAGAAAAGAAGTCAAATGTCAGATTGATGACTGGGGCACAAACCACAAGGTGTTTGGCCTCCTTGGACAAAGGGAGTTCTGGTGAATGGACTTCATTTTAAGAATTCCTACTTCATAATTCTAAGAATAGGCAAAGATGACTCACTAATAAACTGCGGTCTCTTACTGTGGCTGCTTCACTCTTACTGTTTACCTTAACGATTCCTGAAGCTCCTTCAGGATGGATGCCATGTCCCTGGCTTCCTTGTCCCTACCCTGCCTCATGGGTCATAGGACAGTGTAAGGCACCAAGATTCCTACGAAATACTGTGTGATGTTCTGTCCTCAGGACATTTTCCCATGTGCTCAACTTAACACAATGCAGTTTTTAGACTTTATGATCCTCATGTCTTGCTGACTGAGCCCAACAGCAAAAAAAAAAAAAAAAAAAAAAAAAAAGTGCAATAACATCATTCAGTCCATTTCCCAATAAATGATTCCATCAAAGTCCCTGGTCTGATCTCCATGTGTAGTTTAATGGTTAGATAGAAGATTTCATTAGGCTCAGTTAGAACAACAAAATACATGCCAAGTCCAGAATTTGATATAAAGGATGCTCTACATGAACTCGAGCTTTTAGTTTTCTTCCTTCTGCTCTGACTTAGGGGCAGCACAAAAACTTGTTTTGTCCCCAGGGTGACCAAACAACTCACCATCTGAGTGAGGACACTTCTGAGAAGTGGAAGAGAGACTGTTAGCAATGATACTGGGAACGCATGTGGGAACTACAGTCATCACAAGCAAACCTCACATCTATCTTCCTCTTTTCTCTTCCTAAATTTCCTTTCCTTCTTGGAATTGCACATCTTTTGGTCTGAAGCTCAAGACTGATATTGAAATAAAAATTCCTTAGGACAAACTACACTGTAATCTACTTCCCTGAGAGCTTATATTATATGACTTATATTATATGACTTATATTATATGACCTATGACTATAGAGTTTATGCAATGAGAACAGGGGTTTGGGGGCTTAAAGGATTATCAGCAAAGAGGAAAAAAGACCAAGAAATGGGGTTGTTAGGGGAAAGTGACAGAATTTAGTCATACTGTGGTTTTGATTAATGGCTGGTCCTGAAGTGACTGTCAGTTACTTGAAATGTTGGATTTAAAAGATCTTGGCAATAGTCTAGTTTAAACACTTGTTCTCGAAACAAGGTGAAATCATGACAGAGTTAACTCAGGTTACTGATAAACTCAAGGCTGAATCGATTTAGGTAGATTTTCCTGTTTCTTCACTGTTTTACCCTGTACTCAGACAGAGATGAAGCACAACTTTTCAGCTTTTCAAAGAAACCAGGCAAACGGACTATGGATACGAGAAGAACACAGTGTGTTCCTGAGACTTAGCTGCAGAGTTAACAGCTCATTAATAGACTCAAAGACTACACACCTGCCCAGCCACAGGATCTGTCTGTAGAACATCTCAGAGGCAAAAGTGAAATGTTTCCTTGACTTCAGTATTACAGAAACTTCCATTTGCAGATGCTGACTAGCAGCCACAGAGCTTCATTCTAGAAAGAAGTTAACATCTATCAACCTTACCCAC